AAGCCGATATATTCAGTACTCACTTCCAGAGGAAGAAGGAAGGAATTAACTTCAGTCCCCCAGAAATTTGAAGTAAATAATGAAGAAAAGAATATGGGGCACCTGGGGAATAACAAGGCATGGAGGACACCAGGAAGGCAGGATTTTGTTCAGATCAAGCCATGCCAAATCAATCTGGACATAAATAAATTTTTCAATACTTGACTCATCTGACAGTTTTACAATAAATTACTGAAATATTATCAGGGTTATGTGGCTTTAAGCTGGTTAGAGACTGATTGTCTTTACTGAGAGAATGTGTATCAGAAGAGCAAAAGTAGAAGTTCAGGAGAAGCCTTGCCTGCTCTGCTTTTTTAGTATTTTTTATTGCTAACCTCATATGATAGAATAGAAGATCCACTTACAAAAATTCTGTACACCATAAAATTAGAGAAAGCTGCAAATATGTTGCAGAGTAGAATTAGGAATAAAATAATATTGCCAAAATTTAATGTCATTTTTGTTCAGTCAAGGCAGTAGAAAAAAAAGAAAAAGGGCTTGAAGGTTACACTGAATCAACAGGCAGACAGTGGTGGTATATGTTGGAAATAAATGACAAATACATTTATTAATACATTTTACGAAATTTGTCAGGCCACAACTACTGGAATGCATTATGGCATTTTCAACACATTAGTGGAAGTTGACATTTTCCTGTAGGAGAAAACAAGAATGACCACAAAATGGTCTAGAAAAGACGGACCAAACAAAAGTCCTGCAATCTGAGAGAAGAATGATTGTGTACATGATGACAGGCATTCAAAAGGCTCTTGCAAAACAAGGAGATAATCTACTTTCTGCCTCTTCCATACATAGGAAACAAAGCAATGGGCTTCATCTGCTCTTGTCAAAATCCAGGTGAGTTGCAGGGAAGTACTTTGTAACACTCAGAAAAGCACAGCCCTGTAATAAATTGCTTGGGGGAATTCTAAAATCTCTAATAGCAGAGGTCTGCAGGAATAATTGAACAAACAACTGTTGTAGGTGTAATTGATGCTGCCAAGGAGCATAGAGAGGAATAGATCATTCAGGTTCATTACAGCCCTACTTTTCTACAGTTCTGTGTAATGTGTGCCATAAATAAAATTAAGGGATAGGGCCAGAGTTTTAAGCAGTTTACATTTGTCCTTTTGTCATAAAATCTTTCAAGTTAGACAGATGCCTGAATTATTACACAACAAAACAAAGACCAAAAGAAAGTTTCATGCATCAGAGTGAGAGCTTTTTGGAAAAAAATCTTAGAGGGGAAGAAAAAAAGTCTTTCTGTTGCAGTCATAGTTAGAGTCATGGAAGTTGCTCAGTCATGAATTTCTGTTGTGTACCCCAGGAGTAAAGGCTGAGATGAAGGCTGTCTTCATTTTAAGCAGGTCCTGCAGAGAAGCACCTGTATATCAAACTCAGCACAACCTAGTGTCATGATGAGTCTGACCAGTCTGAGTTTATCCAAGAGTAATAAGTGCTACTCAATTTTGTTATAAAACTTTTCTCCCAGATTACATGAGAAGTCTTTGTGATTTTTTATTGGCTGGCATTCTCTGTTGAAAATCTGAAGAAAGTGAAAGCTGAATATTTTAGCTACAGTGAGAGTACCACATCATGATCACATTTTAATGTGCATGCCCCGTTAAACTGTTCTGCAGTGCTATGCATTTACAATCTACATCCAGCCACAGATATAAAGTCTTTTCCAAGTCTTATCTATATCTTTTATGTGGGAAAAGTGATGTAATTCAGTAATAGCTAGGCTTCTAAAGTGAGTTCTGGCATGATACCTGGGCCCAGATCCTCCCATTTGATCATATAACTTAGTCATTAAGAGACATAACATATAAATGAGCACCTGTAGTAGAAGAGCACCTGTCTTATATGGAAATGCACAGTGTCCAACTCTGTACTACAAACTAGGAAAGTCTTGCAAAGGAACATAACTTTTATTAAGGAACATAACTTTTATTAAAATCAGTGAAGTGAGAGCAATCAAAATAAAAGACATATAAATTGAGATAAGTGTTATACAAGTGGATTATGCTAATTTAACTAAATCTGTTTCGAAACCAAGGTGCTTTAGCTCATACTGTTCATATTTCTACTAGACCAATTAGTATTCCTTCAATACCTGGAGCTCTAACACTACAGGGGGAGAATGGGACTGATGAAAATTTGGAAATAGGTCAGGCCCAGGTATCTACTAACTGAGGGAGCAGTGCTGAGAAGGGACAGTGTTGCAAGGGGATTGTGGAGCAGGAAATGATCTCAGTGAGTGACAGGTGGCCCAGGCTGGAGGACAGGAGGTCACTGCCTCTGCTAGAGACCTTTACTGGCAAGGCTGTTTGGAGGCAGACACCTTGTACAGAAGTCCAACCAGCTGTCTGTCCCCTCAGAGGCCTAGGATCCACAAGCCTAAATAATACTTCTACGAAGAATGGGGCATCCATATCCATAAAACCACTGTGGTTTTTTTGTTGGGTTGGTTTTGGGGTTTTTTATCCATGTTACCCTTCTGTCTGCTAGTTCCCAACAAAGCTGTTGACCCTATTGGCAGTACTCAAAAAATTTGATGTATTATGAAATACAAGCTGCTAACAGTAGCTGTTAAAGCCAGGACCTGGCAGCATGAGGCATCCCTGGCCATACACGTCTTGTCCCAGCCCAAATATGAAGTCAAGCAAGAAAAACAAAGGATGAGAGAGGAAAGAGCAGCAAGGACTGATTTTAGGGTGTAACCATGGCAGGACTTATGTGGGCTGCAGAGAGATGACAGAGGAGTTACTATGTCTGGGCAGGCATTCTGGATTAGGTGCTGGGAATAGAGGGGAGGCGTGGTGAAGAGGGAATAGGTGTTGTGATGAGGGCACATGAGAGAGAGAGCTCAGATTACTGCAGTGACAATTTGAAAGGCATGGGTTAAGTTATTGAGGCAATTTTCATTTGTTGGGCACTCCTATGTGTAAGTTTTATGCAAATGGTGGTCTGGACTGGGGAAAAGAAATTTTCCTACTTGGGGTTTCGTAAGTTTGTAACAAAAAAAAACCCAGTTTGAACTCCAAGTCCAATTAGTTAAAAAGTCAGTCAGTCATCAGGCACAGGAGTGGTTAGCAGATGGTTCTGTGTCTGAGAAGGAGCCCCACAAACCATTTTATGACTTAAAAGGGAGGAAAAGTTGAACAGCTTCTCCTAAAGTTTTTCCCAAAATCCCCTCCCACAAAAATGTGTTTCTGGAAAGAAAAAAAAATTTCTATGTTTTCAGCCACACAGCATAAAATGCTTTTAGGATTATGGGCACGTGGTAAAAAGGACCTGCTAAAAGACTGCAAACTTGGCTGGAACATTCCTCTGCACAAATTTGGTCAAGGATTTTTTGTGCAGATGAATTGGCAGTGTCTGTTTTCCATGAAGTGATCATGAAATGTTTGATCCTTCTCACTCCTTAGAGGCAGCTCAACTGATTTTCAGCACATGAACGCAGATCAGTTCAGACATCTTTTTCTGTCCACTCCAGCCAGATGGCTTTTGGTGTCACCTCTGCAGGTCAAACACATCACTGCTATGCTGAGGAAGCATCTTTGCTACAGTTATGTCTGGCATGATGAAGATATATTTTTATGGAGGGTGGACATGATTCCTTACAGGCATGCAGATGTGGCTGCATTCAATGGAGTAGCAGTGTACTATCCATCAGTTTCCATATGTTGTTGGCTGTTTTTACCTTGGATAATTGAATAGTTACCTCACTGTGGAAAACAGCCAGAACAAACACTTAAATTTCACTGTGAGGTAAGGTGAGTGTCTTTGGCTGATCTCTAAAAGCCCCATCATGACAAATCCTGTGGCTTTAGTATTGCAGAGAAAGTCAGTAAAGAACACTTATTGCGCTGTGAGAAAAAACACTTGTGAAAAACACACACTGTCACTAAAACAATGCCCAAGAACAGAGCAATGTATTCCTTCGTAATGTTGTTTAATCACTGGCAATTTATGGGAGATACACAGTCAAGAATTCGCCTCAGATGCTAACTCAAATGTACATTACTATAGCTATATTGTCTAGGTGAATATTCAACCCATTTGTCATTTCCTGGATAAATATAGACAGAGACTAGGGTTTTCTGGTAGTGAAACCACAGCGCAGAGAGATGCTACTAAAATGTATAGCAGGAGACTTTTGAATAAGATAATGTGATTCTACCCTTCAGCAATTCTCTTCTAAGACTTCAGAGTTTTGTGTGAATATTTTATCAACAAGAAATACAGATTTTCTCTCACTAGTTTATCCATTTTGTCTATCAGTATATTGTATATTATATTTTTTCTATGTCTGTCCATAGCAGTATAAGTGGAAGCCATATGTTCCAGAAATTTTTCTTTCCATTAGTGTGTGGCAGGAATTCAATAGTGAGTGGATTTGCATGTCCTTTGGCAAGACAGATGGATTTTTGGAATTTTCCAGTCGAGTGGTTTTAAAACTTGTAGAAAATCTGCGCCAAGGGACCCCAAGCATTGTAGTTGACCCAGGACACCTACTGCATCCTTTCTACTCAAATATGTCTATTTAATTTTTTAATAGTTATGTGGCCATTGTCCTATCTCTGAGAATGTTATAATGTGCAGAAACTACCTTCATCTGAGCCAGAGTTTGGCATCTCATCATCTATCAGATTGCTTCCTAGGAGTTACTGCTGTATTAAAATTCAAGGATACTTTCTGACATGTTTTTGTTCCCAAATGAATATGATGTTATCTTTGCCTTCCCAAATTTTATTTTCCTATTCGTTACAGATTACAGTATGAATCCAAGGATCCTATGCTGAGTAAGTTTGTAGAGAAAAGAGCTGCTGAAAATTAGTGAAGTAACTCTGTGTCACACATAGAGAAAATATTAATCTGCTGCTATAGAGAATTAGAAAGATGTCAACTTATGCTTGACCATTCTCACTTACGTGCTTTGACTTTCTCTTTCTTAGTATCTGCATGCAAACGGGATCGTGCATCGAGACCTGAAGCCAGAAAATCTACTCTATGCAACACCAGCACCAGATGCACCATTAAAAATTGGTGAGCAGCATTAAATGTCTGCTTCCCTGATGCCTTTGCATCAGTAATGTGTGCTAACTGATGTTTGGAGTATGTGCACCTCACAATCACCCTATTTGAAGCCAGTGCTTAATGAACAGCATGTTACTTCAGCAGCACAGCTGTTAATGATGGTTTCAAAACCAATGCAAAACTAGATGCTTGCTTAGATAATTCATTGCCAAAATTGTGTGGAACGTGGCAGAGATTAAAGCACTGGGAACAAGAAGAATCATGAGAACAGCATAAAGGTCTGTGCACCACTTCTATGCCCCCTTTTTTCTTTTAAACTAGTACCTTAAGAGGAAAGATACACTGGTGTGAAAATAAAAATGTGCTGATAAGGGTCAGAAGGCAAACTGAGCAAGGCTGGCTTCGTTTTGAGGACAGGTTTGAGGGACATGCAGAGATCTTTGCGAAGAGCACAGGGAAACTCTCTGAAGTATGGTCAGCCCCAAAGAAGGGGCAAGGAGGAGCAAGGCTCTCCTGATCAGGAATGTATTGTGCCAGTTCTGCTGTAGATGGCAGACACTTCCAAAAATGTTGGGCATGCCTAGTTTTTTGCTTGAGCAACAAGGAGCATCTGTGCAACCCTTCTGAGTTTTAAAATACCACCTGGTGCTCTCTTGGGAGTGAGTGTTTCCACGTTCATCAGGCTGGTGATCATAATGGTTTTCTGGATCCAAATTTGCATGAAGTGGCCTCAAGCAATTTTGTATAAATTTCTAGGAACGTCTTGGTTCTCAGGGTGATGGTACTTCATGTCTTTTCCTACTTTTAATCTTTCCTGGAAAGGCTCTAAACTTGATAATTTAATGCAGCACCATCCACAGTGTGTAGGGCTTTTGAAACATTTCCTAAATGCCACGATTCTTCATCTTCCTGGTAAGGTTGTTGCCCTGTTTAAACTGAAATCCAATTTACAATGAGTGGCTGTGTTTATAAAAGTAAACTGTATTTCTAATTAGATAAATTATAATGCAAAAAGGATAGCCATTTAGGAAAAAGTGACCTATTTTTATCCTGATCTTGAGTTAGAGTTAGAACATTCACTTTTATATTCAGTCTTACAAAACAAAATCAAATCTTTTATTTTGCACTTTTAAGACAAAGGTGATTTTCATCACCTAAGAATAAGTCAATTTGAATAAGCTCAGTTTATTTTTGATGAAAAAAGAGTTGTGAACGCTTCAATTTTTGTTACTTTTATGAAGAAGTTGTGCAAGTACAGTGTGTATTGTCACAAAGGCCTTCACTCTGTGAATAGTAATTCAGGTGGAACATTGGAGAGAGGATGATCAATACTTCTTCTGTCACCATCTTTATGCCTCTAAAAGCCTTCTATCAAAATACTGCTGAGATTTTGTCTTGCAGAGACTACACACTTTGACCCTTGACTAAAAAAGCAACCCAAAATAGTTCTGATAATTTTATTGGATTACTCACTGAGTGGGAACTGAATATATACCTAGAATATATTTTTGAATCTCTGCTTGTATGCCCTTAGGCCTCCCACTGCACTGGCTTTGTGCAGTTTTCAGAATAAAATACAAGCTACATTTCAGTCAAACAAGAGCCAAGAATACTCATTTGTACAGCAAACTTTGCCTCTGGATTGTGGCATGAGTAGATTCACTAATTCAATGCTTATCTATGGAAATGTCAATACCATTCATTTAACGTATAAATGTTTATTGAATTGCATACACAACATACAACCCCACACTATTAGAGGGAGTAAGAACATTAATATTCCCAAACCATCTTAACAGCTGACTTTGGACTTTCCAAGATTGTGGAAGATCATGTGACCATGAAGACAGTTTGTGGAACTCCAGGGTACTGTGGTATGTTGTTTTGTTACTTATATTTGCTTTTATGACTGTAGATTCAAAGGCACGAGGACTGCAGAAGATGGTGAGATCACTCTGTTACCTCGTAGAACAGCTGATAATGCAAGTCAGGTGACATGGTCACTGTCCATTACTTTGTATGACATTGCCTGCAAAGCACACACACAGGCCAAGTCTGCTTCAGAGCAGCACCTAACTCCAGTCCAGATAGTTTCATAAAACTGTGTTTCACATATTAGCTGTTAATGTTCTGGTTGTCTTCTCTTGTGACAATTACAGTACCAATGCCACACATCCATAGTTAGTTCTTAGTGCTTTTATGCCCATCTTGGTATACTGTAAAAACAGGATAAGGCTTATTCCTGTAGAAGAGCTCTCAGAGTTATGTCGACTGGGTAGGAAGGATTGAGGCAGAATATTTCTGCCGGGAAGGGAAGAAAGGAGCTTTATGCCTATAGTTACATGCCTATAGCAATCCTTGATTTACAATTCAAGTTAACTAACTGCAGAAGTCCTGGTGACCGGAAAACACTCAAGCATTACTTTCCAGAATTGGAGGAAACCCAGGAGAAATACTGTTTAAATGCCAAATTAAACTATGAATAATTGATGGTTCTGGGCTGCCAGCTCCCACATCCTGCCCACCCATCTATCAGCAGCTTCTCCAGAAAGGACACAGCAACAAAAACACATACTGGATTCTGAACACTTTAGTATCAAGACTTGACAAACTATAGTCCTTGGGATGTACAGATTGATGCAGAGGACTGAAGGCAAGAAGATGATTGCAGAGAACTTTGTTTGCTGCAATGCTGTGCCTTCAGTGAACTTAACAAGAGGAGCATAAGTGATTTCTGAGAGTAGCACAAAAAATCAAGCCAGTGCAAAGCAGTGATTCATGAGCAGTCTGTTACAGGCAACATCTAAACTAACACAAATGTGTCAGACAAATCCATTCACCTAAAGCAAACTTCTGGAAATCTTAAAAAAATACTAAAAGCCCTTCTGTTCATGTCTGTGCAAGTGTAGTGTGGGAAGGGAAGAGATTGCATTGATGTTCATAGGTACAGCCAGCCCACTGTGCTCCAGAAATGTGGCAGTCATCCCATGTGCCTCACAGATCCAGTGGGATCAGGGTCCTAAGTCTGTGCCTGTCAAGCTGCTTAGGCAGCCATTGACTCCTCTTTACTGCTACAGAGCTGGAATCTCCCAAAACTGCCTGGCCTTTCCATCTGCTCCTCACAGCAGCAGAACCAACTGCCTGAAATCGTCTGGTTTTCCTCCCCATTAAAACAGAACATCAAAAATAAAGCCTAAATAAAGTGCCAAGTAAATAGTCTCATAGAACCATTAAGGTTGGAAAGGCTTCCAAGATTGTTAAGTCGTCCAGCCTTTGACTGCATGCCACCATGCTCACTAAGGGCCACGCCCAGTTTTTTCTTGAACATCTCCAGGGATGATGACTCTACCATCTCTCTTGGCAGCCTCTTTCAATGTTTAACCACCCTTTCTGTGAGAAAATCCTGCTTAATGCCCAACCTGAACTTACCCTAGTGGAGCTTGAGCCATTTTCTCTTGACCTATCATGGTTACATGGGAGTGGAAGCCAACTCTCACCCCACTACAACCTCCACCCAGGTGGCTGCAGAGACTCCCTGAGCCTCCTCTTCTCCAAGCTGAACACTCACACTTCCTTCAGCTGCTCTTCTTTGCATTTTTTCTCTATACCTTCACCAGTTTCTTTGCCCCTCTCTGGACAGGCTGCAGCCCCTCAAGGCTCTCCTGCTTGTAAGCGGCCCCAAACTGGACACAACATTTGATGTGTGACCTCACTGGTGCCCAGTACAGGGGGGATGGTCACTGCCCACTGTTGTTGACACAGGCCAGGATGTCCTCGGCTTTCTTGGCCACCTGGGCACAGCTGGATCGTGTTAAGCCACTGTTAACCAGCACACCCAGGTCCTTTCCTGCTGAGCGGTTTTCCAGCAGCTCTGCCCCCAGCCTGTAGCATTGAAAGAGGTTATTGTGTTCCAAGGCAGGGCTGACATTCAATCTCATTGAAACTCATGCCACTGGCTTTGTCTCAGGGATCCAACTTTTCCACATCTCTCTGTACAACTTTCCAGGTCCCCACCTGACTTGATGTCCTTTGCAAACTGACTGAGGGATACCTTTGATCTCCTCATCCAGACCAGGATAAAGATGCAAAACAGGATTGGTCCCAACACTGGACCCTGGGGAACTCCCAGCCACCAGCTGGATGTAACTCCATTCATCACCATTCCCAGGGTCCAGGTGTCCAGACAGTTTTTCACCCAGACACCACAGCTGTCCAAGCCATGAGCAGCCAGTTTCTCCAGGAGAATGCTGTGGGAGATGGTGCCAAAGGCTAGAGTCCCCATAGACAATATCCACAGCCCTCCCCTCAACTATCAGGTGAATCACCTGCTCATGAAAGGAGATCAGGTTGGCCAGGCAGGATGTGCCATTCCCAAACCCCTGCTGGCTGTGCCTGATCCCCTGCACTGTATTTGCCATGTGACTGCATCCAAAATGATCTTCTCCATCATCTTCCCTGGCACCACAGTCTGGCTCACAGGCCTGTACTTCCCTGCATCTATTTTCCTGCCCTTCTTGTGGATGGACATCACATTAGCCAACCTCCAAATCATCTGGGGCCTTCCCAGTTAGATAGGATTGATGATCAGTGAGGCAGAGCAGCTTGGCAAACTCCTTCTCTAGCTCCCTCAGCACCCTTGGATGAATCCCACCTGGTCCCGTGGACTTGTGAGTGTCTCAGTGGCTCCCTCCTGCTGGACTGCACAGGTTCTGTTCTGCTCTCTGTCCCTGGCTGCCAGCTGAGGCTGGTTCCCCGAGGATAATCAGGCCTTACTGTTGAGGTCTGAGGCAAAGAAGGCATCTGAGCCTTTTCCTCATTCTTGGTTCCAGAATTTGTCTGTGCATCCAGTCAAGGATGGAGATTTTCACTGGCCCCATTTTTGTTGTTGATGTATTTATAAAAACACTAAGTAAAATACTGAAGTTAGAGCACCACGTTATTGGTCACATTGTGGCTCCAGTGTTGCTGTAGCTTTCTGTGGTTCCTTCCACAAACATAAAATACAATTTGAAACCAAAGTACAGTTCTCATTTCTTTCTGGCTCTGATTGGACATGACTTCTCTTGTTTTGTATTCAGTGAAGGGAATAATTTGTCTAATTCAGGGCTTAAATGGGCAGTTCTAATTTTTTGTGAAAGGCACAATTGTGCATGGACTTCAATTGATTTTGTGGCTATTATATCTTCACTCAGTTGTTGCGTTACTGACAAGTGTTTTGTCCTCTGCAGCACCAGAGATACTACGGGGATGTGCCTATGGCCCTGAGGTGGACATGTGGTCCCTGGGGATTATCACCTACATCCTGTAAGTGCAAATGTTGATAGAGAGAAGTTCACTTTGCAGCATCCATAGGATATCATTACAATATGAGCTGTGGCATTGGAAAAGACAAGATTCTGAACTTTAATGTTATATTCGTAACCTTACTGAAGTAAGTCAAATCCTAGAGGAACATGGCAAAACACAGTCTAAATATTTGATAACTTTAACACTTCTTCCTGAATAGCAGCAAGACGTGCAGAATCATGCTACTAATGTGAATGAGTATAGAACAAAAGTTCCAAGCACTTGTGTTTAAGTAGGCATTTTTGTCTAAGTCTTATTGGGGTTAGTCATGATTCAATTGGTAAGAATTACGATTACTTTATTCTATTGATTGAATCTTTCAAAGGAAGATTATTGAGAAGGAAAATTGCATATGAGGTATTGACTCCCTTCTTTATGGGAGAATAATTATGAGACTTAATTTAGACCCTTGGCAATGACAACACTTAGCTCATGTAGTAATATACAATACTTCTAGAATGTTCCATGGGGACAGGCAGGGACTGGCTGCCAACCCAGAAATGGTGATGGGAGAGGCAGCAAACAGGAGGGGATCTGCAGAGGGGTTCTGCCTGGCCACCACTTACTGAAGCACAAGCTTTGGAGGCTGGATCCATGTGTTTTAATACACTTCTGCCAGATCTGGAAAAATAATGTGCCCAGAATGTGCTTGCAGTGAGGTGTTTCTCCTCTTCAGCAGTGGAATGTGATGCCGCTGTTCCACCCATGGTTATGCACCACTCCCAAAACCACATTTCTTCCTTGAACCTCAGCCTTCTTTTTCAGAACAGTAAGCGCATTGTGTTTAAAAATACAGAAACAAGTTAAAATGTAAGGCTTTTCTAGATTTGCTGCTGTCTTGATCATTATGATCCACTGGTGTTTTCCTCTCATCATCTTACTGCCTGTTGCAGAGGAGGAGATAGCCTTTCTCTGTTAAGCTCAGATCACATACTGGCTGAATAGGAAATTCACTTTAAAAAATCTGATTATGTGTGCAGGCGTGATTAAAGTGCAATGAAGCGATAAAAAAAGGACATTATACAAATGGAAACCACATCTATGAGTCTGCTTTCCCTGAGGCCAGCAGTGTGGATCTCTGCTGGGATCTGTATTATTCAATGTATTTATATATGCAGTCATTAGTGAGATCACAAGACTTCTAGATTGTATGTAGGTTACCTAAATAAAGATGAGGCCTGATCATGAAAACTTAACAAAGGTTTTTACATATTGTGGCTGATAGGATGGAAAAAAGTACAGGGATGAGCATGCCTAAAAATCATTCCTAACTGGATATATAAAAACTTGAACTTCATGTGTAAGGTGGGTTTCCTCAGCTAATTCCTATTCCTCTGGCAAGAGTTACAGGGATTCTGATAAATGCTCTATAATCCTATATTAATAATCCTATATTAAACATATGAAAATAGAAAAATTACAGTTAGAAAAACCTTTCCCAGTGTTTAAGAATACTTATGACAACATTTCTCTCTGCTATGTAGAATTAGGAGTTCATGAGTACATCCAGGAATGGTTTCCCAAAGTGATCTACAGGACACAAAGTAGAGAAAAATACTACCATGAACTGTTTCTAACAACCCAAGACTAATTAAACTTTGATTAATTAATTTCTTTTTTATCCTTTCAGACTTTGTGGCTTTGAACCATTTTATGATGAAAGGGGAGATCAGTATATGTTTAAGAGAATCCTGAGCTGTGAATATGACTTTGTGTCCCCCTGGTGGGATGATGTGTCTCTGAATGCCAAGGATTTAGTAAGTAAAGCAAAAATGAGACTGGAGTATTTAGTATTTCTGCCACTGAGAAAGAGTCCATTTTGGGGTGGGGGCAGATTAATTGGTTAATTAATTGTTTATAATTGTTTCCTCTTGTCTTTGCTACATTATGGTGCTGTTAATCTACCCTGTTAGTCCAGTGCTGTAATTTGCACTCAGAACCTGGATATTCAGGTCCTTCTGTGAAGCAAGCCATAGATTGTTGGCAGCTGTCACAGTGTTCGTGTATGCCTGCCTTTCCTTCCAGCTCTGAAGTCTTTCACCATTCATCTTTTCCGGACAAACACCTTCAGGGGAATGTAGAAACAAGCCCTTTTTTTTGTGCAGTTTTCAAGCCTGCATTTTGGTGAGGAATATAAAATGGAATGAAACTTTCCTCCCACTGCTTTTTCTGACATATTTTTTCTGTCCATTTAAAGTTTTTTTTTTTGGTAGGTGAGGAAAGACTGACTACTTTTAAACATGCTCCATTAGCAAAATGCAAGGGCTGGCATGCTATCTGCACTCTATTATTTTATTACTGGATAAAGTAATTTGGACCAGGAGACACTGATCTGCAAAGATAGGTATGCTTGAGTCTGACTTTTGTCAATAATAACTTGCATAATTCAGTAATTTCATAAGCACTGAAAACACAAGTGCTCTGTTCCATATACACATATACAAACTGTGTCACAAAATACTACGTCACTGGTGTTAGTGAAGTACTTCAGGATATTTCAAATGGAAGGACTGTAGAATTTCAAAGTACTTTTTTGGTGTTTTATGAGATGTGAAATTTTTCTAAGGCCAAAAAAAATATCATTTAATGCCAGATAAACAGCAGTCTGCAGGTAAAGCTTTTGAACGTTGCATAGGAAATTGTAGATAACAATGATGACCATGACTCTCAAAACCCATGCTGTGGGCAGTTCAGTGTTCAGCTGAATGGATTTCCTTAACTCAAAGACTTCCTTGGAGACACAACCAATATTCACCACAATGCCTCTTCTCCTGCGTGCACTTCAGGGCAGCAACTTTAAAGGTATTTGTAGGGAGATTTCAGGGAACCCTGAAGCAAGTTTTCCCTCACCCTTGGGCACATAGGAGCAGTGGAGCCCTATGCCATCACTTGCACTGCTCCAAGAGGGTCTGCAGTCAGGAGAGCTGGGTAAGTGTGGCTCTGCAGAGTGCCATCTGTGTACTTTGTTACTCCATCCTCACCTTTCTTCTTTTTTTTAAAACTCCACTTGTCCAGAGATACAATAAAACTCATGGTATGTCAGTTGACTGGACACATTTTGTATCCAGCAGGACCATCTCCAGTCCCAAGGGTATGTTTGCAGTGCCTTTTCCCAAAAGTACCCTACTGTCATGTTTGTAGAAGTCCAGGTTTTCTGGCTGTGGTGATAGAAGGAATGGTGTAAAGAGCATTAGTTCCAGAGTGGGCTAAGACAGAAAGACTTGTGTAATGCTTTTTTTAATATGTACATGAAGTCTTTCAGTGACTGAAAGAAAAATTTCCTTTGTGCTGTGTATGACAGGGACTACGTGGTACAAGCAGGCACATAATTTAAACCTTCTAATCCAGTTTAAGACTTGTCCAAATCATGAAGTAGAGAGAGAGACTTCTCAGAGACTTTGAGAACCTCTTAGGGTTTTTGTGACAAGTCAGACATGAAAGAGCCTATGACAGATACAGGTCAGCTGCATTGGTACATACCCTTAATATGTTGGTAACCAGTTGATACTTGCTCTTCTTTCTTCCCCCTTAGTGGCCGTCTTAATCAGATGTTATTTATGGAGGACCAAGAAATGCCAGAAGCAAAATACTTGCAAAGACACAAATGAAAACTCCTGTTGGTTTCTTAGAATGTCTCACCTAAGATGCTCTCCAAACCAAGGCCAGAGCCCCCAAATGCAAAACTAGGTAAATCTGAATGAAGAATAAGGTTGACAGTCTTTTTTATTTCTTGCTTGTGATGCAGGTTAAAAAGTTGATTGTTTTAGACCCCAAGAAACGCCTCACCACTCTACAGGCTTTGCAGCACCCATGGGTCACAGGGAAGGCAATAAACTTTGCACATATGGACAACGCACAAAAGAAACTTCAAGAATTCAATGCCCGGCGTAAACTTAAGGCAAGTCTCTGCTCATAGTCTCTGTTCTGGCTATGAAAGCTTGCAATTAAATTGTTTTTTAACCCCTGTGTGTTCTCAGAGGCGTGTCCGAACTTCAGTGGCTAAACCAGGTGCCAATATTAAAATCTGAACACCTATTGGTGACCACAGCATCTCCCAAAAAAAACCCTACTTCCTGTCAATGTCAAACCACGACAAGTAGCCTTGCAGAAACCTTGCACATTTTTGAGGACAATATTCCATGGTGTTATGGAAGCTTTTTATTTGAGATGTCTGACCAAGATTGAAGAAGTTTTAAGTTGATTCAGTCAAGCCAAAACAAATAAAAATGGGTGAAGTTGATTGAAAACTCTATCTACACAGATAGGACCGCTGAGGATGTACAAACCTTTCACAAAGTCCTTACTTTCCATCTTTTCTTCCCTTCTTCCTTTCTTGCTTTTGTCCATCCATCTGTCCTGTATTGCTGGTGCATCCTTAGAATACTGGCCAGAAGGAATGGCATACTGAGTCATGTTTTAATGAGCATCCATCCGTCTAGAAGAAAGTTAGTCTATTAAAGAATATTTTGATCCCTAACCCACCTGTACCTGTCAACACGAAGCAGGAGGTTTAAGCCATCCTTCTGCATGAATTTGAGTCAGCATTTCAGATGTGTAGATCCATAAATATCCCCAGGATGCTCCTTTACCTGTCCACATATCTGCCATGGGAAGAAGCAGGGAAATGTCTTTAGGTGCAAATAGCAGGCAACTGGGCACCTGACTGACATGGTATCAGGAAACTTTCTTTTCTCCTAATCCATTATTTAGTTTTTAAAGATTTTCATCTGATCAGGAGATAATTCCAGGGATATCTCAGCACAGGGATTGTTAGCAACAGCTACAGTGAAGCTGCCCTTCTAACCCTGGGGAATTAGAGTAAAAGCAACTTAACTGAGAGCTTTAGTAAATTCCATAGAAAAATCCATTCACAAAAAAACTGAGCCTAAACTTAGGATTTGCTATTTTTTTTTAGTAGAGGACTGTAGCAGAGAATTTCTACAGGGCAAAGAAATTTTTTTTGTAATTTACAAAGTTCTCAGAGATTATAGATATAATTCACATTGACATTTTGATTTTGTTTTTCTTTATATTTTTTACACCAGAGATATTTTTGAAGCTCATTTTATTTAGGCCCCTACACTAAATCAATTTATTATTTTGTGATTACAAACTATCACTTTTTATAAGATTATTTCTTCAGTGCTTCTCTGTTAAAGATTAAATTACCAAATCTGCAATTATTAAGAAGATTGATTGAAGTTAGCAGTTCTTGTAGAGTTAATAATTTTCCACAAATATATCTGTAAAAGAAACAATAAATTTTTTGACAGTTAACTCCTGGTCAAAAAAATAAAACCAAAGCAGACATCAAAGTAGTGAGTACACGCTTTGGCGGTTATTTGTTAGTAAGAATAATATGTAATTCTTTTCTCTTTCCCAACATAAAAGTCCATCACCAGACTTTCTTTATGTAAAGACAAATTTTAAAGAGTAAGTCTAAAGGTCTCAGTCAGGATTTGGTTTCTCATAGGCTGTGTTGAATTTGTTTCATAAACATCCAACACTGCTTGCGACACTAAATTACATTGAAAGTGCCTTTAGACATTATAGTATCACTAAGTGGCTTGTTCTGTTTGTGATCAGTTTTCCAATGTCCTGTCACCACCAATGTGGATGTCTGTGATTTTTCCTTTAAGAGGTCTATTCTGTCAAAATTCTTGCCCATTTCTTTGGTTTATGTCTTATAGTATTTCTTCATGATCTGTTGTAGCTGATTCTTTTTTATTTACAATATTTATGTTATCTGCTTTTCATTAAAATCTTTTTTTCTTTTTATTTCTTTGAGGGAGTTTTTTGTTTGTTTCTTTTTTGTGTGTGTTGTGTGTGTGTGATTACCTCTCCAAAGAATCCACAAAACTTGCTATATTCTTCATCTCTTCCTGCAGACCCGCTTTGATGTCTAAGCAAAAGCTGCCAAGTCAAAAATAGCTTGAGCTGTCGCACACAGAAATTAGCATTTATTTTTCTCACCTCTGTATGTCTGGTTTTTTTCAGGCAATAAAACTGTTCAAGGCAAGGGCTAATATAACTGTCTTCATGTGTGTCTTCATTTTTTGATATTACATGTGATAAGAAATCCTCCTCCTAGTGTGTATTTTCATATGCCTATACTTAGGAAGGTGCCCATCTGCTCTGCAACATTGCGCTTGGAATATGCAACAGTGCAATAGTGAAAGATATTGTGTTCCTTTGTGAAATTTTCATGGAATAATCAGTGGCAGTACTGGTGTTTTTTATTATTATGGCAGAAGATGATGACTTTCTTTTTTGCCGTGAGACTAGAGTGCAGGACACCTGAAGTAATTTCTAAAAAAAACAAAAACAAAAACACAAACCCAAACAAAAAAACCCCAAAAGAAACAAAAAACCAGCCAGTATAGCTGAAAAAATGTTCATGTCACCCAACCTGTAACCTTGGGAAAGCAGCAATTTTAAACCTCAACCCAGTATGCCAGGCGGCCTTCTAAATCCACCCAGGCCCAGGCAGGTATCCAAAGCTGACATTCCCAAGAAGACTGAACGCAGTTGCTGCTGTCGGGGCAGTGCTGCATGCCCACGGGCCGCATTCCCTAAGGGATGTTTGCTTGGTCCCCTCTCTCCCAGGCCGCAGTGAAAGCCGTGGTGGCCTCCACACGCCTCGGCAGCGCCAGCAGCCACAGCGCCCACGAGGGCCACAAGGCCGGCCCCAGCCCGGCGCCCGGCCGCGACAGCCAGCCTGCCGACACGGACAGGCCCACGCAGGAGGCGACAGCGGCGGCTCCCGGAGAAATGCCTTAGGTCGATGGCGCTCGCTCGTGTCGGCGGAGATGTCATTTCATACACCAGCTACCTTGTCATCCAGCGAGAGAGATTAGCAAGCTTGGCCTCTCTGGTTCTGCTTCGGGGTGCCACAGGCCCCGCCTGATGATCCTACCTTCAGTGCATGTGACTGCTTATGAAAATAGTAAACTGTTCCATTAGGCATGTCATGGAAACAGTGTAATTTGCAGTAATATCGGCAGGTGAAAACATGGGGATTATTAACTACCTACCATAATGTGTATACTTCATCTATCTAGTGTTCCTAGGTGGCATTTGAAACAAAATGCTATTTTGTTTGGTTTTATGGAAGTAGGTGTCTTATCTATGTTGTGAGTTTCTTTGAACTGTTTCCTTCCAGTTTCATAGTCCTTCAGGAGACAAAATGGAAGGAAATACCAAACCAATGCTTTTAAAACTGATGTATGAAATAATGTTTTTTATCTGTAAAATTGAAAAAGTATTTGGGGATTTACATGCAAAAAAAAAAAGAAAAAAAAAACCACAAAAAAACATTCCACTACTTCTGAGAAGAAATTGAAATGGTAGTTCCACTGGGCATGAAAATGTACATTGTTCAAGCTTGCATTGAGAATGCCTTATTCTGACTTTTCTTGTTTATATACAGTATTTTAATAACAACCAAAATTACTCTGCCATTTCATTCCACAGTAAAGTCTTAGTGAAACAAAACCACAGACTAAACAAGGATTAGAATACATGCAAATTTCTGTCATACCATTTTATTTATTCATTAAAATTCTAATCTGCAGATAGAAGACATTTTATAAGCCCTAAGGGAATAATCTATATTTAAATAAGCTGTAAATGCTTGAAGGAAGCTATTTCACAATTACTGATTTTGCTTTGAGGAAACACTCTTATACAAGGTCTGGGAGCAAGTAGTATAATCTAGTTGGTTCCTGGGTAGTTTAACCTCATGAGTGAGCAGTTTCCACTTGTAATTAGTCCACATTTTCCTAACAAAGGATGCCTCCTGTAAAGTGATCCACCAGCACGATCTTGCATCCACCCAGAGCTGTGTCTTGAGTTAGCAGCTGTGTGCATCAATCAGCTTGCAAAAGTAGGGTCAGGCTCTTCAGCTATCTTGATGTTCTTGTTGAATGTGATTGATAGGAACTGAAAAACTAATGTGCATCAGTGTGTATGACCACTTACACTTGTTTGTTATCTATTTGACAGCATGTGACTATTGTACTGATATATTACAAAAATGGCTAAAAGAACCTGACATTCAAAAATGTCATTTGTGCTTGTTAAACTTTTTAATACTGATAGTTACCTAACATCCTAATACAATCATCATTCCTCTTTAGCTTTAATTGTTTTTATGTTGTTGTTAGGCCTTGCACAACTTGCCTTGAAAAAATATAGCAGCTACTGAAAAAAACAAGATTTTAATAAAACATTCAATAACTACATTTCCTGATGAAATTAAAGGGTAATACAATGTTATTCGTATGGTAGATTTAATAAATAAAATGTGCCCTAAATTAATATATAAAGGAGGATTAAAGGTCCTGTCTTTACAGGGTGAAAATGCATGCTAATGGATTTATTATACTTGAGATTTTTTATCCATTTCTCAGAACTCTCTGAATTTGAACAAAAAGTTTTGCTAACTAGGAAGGGTTGAAATGTGAAATACATGCATCCATTCAGTTTTCAAAGCACATACTTCAAGGTCAGCAGAAACATCTGGTGGGGGCATAGCAGCTGTATGCAAGCCAATGTGACACTTTAATGGAATTTTCCCTTGGAAACAAGTACAGCAAGATTAATAACTTTGGACAAGATCATCCACCTGTCTCACTTTTTACTCTCTGTCTTACCTCATTTGAGGTCACTGAAGAAAAGAGGCAGTTCTCAGCTACTTTACTCCACTCTCCGATACTGTAGTGAAGTCGTCCAAGTTTAGTCAGTAGGGAAATTTGATGGGAGAGGCTGGATTTTTATACCATTTCTCCTTCATTTGGGATAATTGCTTCAAACCTGCAGAAGTGGAGTTGGCTGAGCAGTAACTGCACATGTGTGAGAGTTGAGCATAAATTCCTTCATCTGAGGCACAGTTTGTTGAGCTGAAAAGTGGTCCCAGCTGATTCCCAATGGTGGTTTTTGCTAAATTATACCACAGAATATCATAACTATGAGCTGATGCTATCTAAGAGGAGACCTCTCTGTGACAGCATGATCTTCAGAGGCAACTCAGTTTTGTGTCAGGTTGGGGGGCTTCAGTTGTTTTTGTTTTTATCATACTCAGCATTAAGCAATCAGGATGTCTGTGCTGAGGCTGTGATTACCAGTCTGTGACTTGGCAAAGCACAGTGCCTAGCTGATATATTTGATGTATGACAGCAGCTGGGTGTATGCATGCACTGGAAGATGCAGGTGTTACCTGCATTGGCTTTGTCTGAAAAATCACACCCTGGTGGCATCTGCTGTAGTGCAGACTGGGATGTGCAACATCAGTGTCTTACTGTGGCTGAAAAATATGAACACACTTGAAAACTGCTGGGGAAAGACCAGATGTTTCCAAATCCATGGTTATAAGCTAAGGAGAAAGTTACTTGTGCTCTTTTCTGTTGAAGTCCTGAGCTTTAATTCTTTAGAATATTTACCATATTAACAAAGTTCTTTAAGTACAAAAGGGGAAACTTTTCAATATTTTTGAAGTATTTGAACTTAGTAAAACTTTTCCTGTAAAAGCAGACTTCAGCACTAGTCAATTGTAGGGTAATATTTTAGAGCTGAGATGATGATAAGATTGCTGTTAAATGGTAAGGAAGTCCTGCCTTTGCACCACAGCAGGCATTTTCCCAGTTTCAGAAATATTCCCTCCAAAATAGAACAGATTTCCTGTAATTCTAAACGCTTTTGCTTCCAATTTTGTCGATGACACAGTAGATTGCACTGTGTGAGCCTGGTGCTGGTTTGCTGGCTGAAGTTTGTACTCTAAAGTGTGCAAACATGCTGTAAAGAGGCAGACACACCATAATCAAACTTCTGAATGCAGAATACCATCCAGGCAAAAGTTTTTGATACAGCAGGTTCTTCAGAAGAAGGGTACTAAGGGTACTGTTTGTCCACACAAATGAGCAAGCTGTTGGACACACAGATTATGATAAAAACTACCCAGTGGTCCCTTTGCCTTGGTGAATACAGCAAAATGCTCTGAAACGCTGTGTGGTAGCAAATCAGGATCAAAGCATCAACCAAAGAGTTTTTTGAAGTGGCTCAGACCAGCAGGGTGGCCCAGGCTGCAGGAGGCTGTGGCTCACTGGCACTAGGCCTCCACACTTTCCAAATGAATCACCTTCTCCTACAACTCACGCTGCAAGTGGAACACAGAAAGAGCTGGCAGCCATATAGGACAAGTGAAGACAACAGCACATTTTCTGCAGCAGGGAAAGGGAAAATTATACTGGGAGCTGTTAGTGTCCAACTCAGCAGAAGGAAAGCAATATCTGACAGGCAGCAAATGCTGCAGGACTCTGGAAAATAAGTCCTTGTCTTTAAATAAATGTCCCTCAGCTCTTGCACCCCTCTGGGGTTTTGAGAGCAGTGTAATAAAGTGTGGGATGGAGGACTCCCTGCAGATCCTTGCACGTTGTCCTGCACATTGCCTGCTTACAGAACGGCAGACAAAAATGTCAGCACAGTGCCTTGACCCGAAGCTTGTGCAGAGGCTTTTCCTCCTGGAGAAGAACTAATTTTTGTGTGGCTGAGCCAACATTGTTGCTGCTGAGGTTATGTGTGCATGGCATTCAGGTAACAAAAATTATCAGAGGCTGACCAAGAAAGATGCACAGTTAGAGCTAGAGACCAGTGCTAGGGATACACACAAGTCCTGAAAATAACTAAGGTAACATAAGAGACAGGCAGAACATCCTTAAAGTTACTTTATAAAACAATAACAATATCCTTTGTTTCCTATCAGAGTTAATCCAGTTGGAACATAAACAGAGTTCATTCTTCTTTTGTGTAAAGAATTTTATATTAAATTCCCTGATAAGCCCCTGCACAAAAAAGCCCGTGTTTTGTTGAACAAAAAAAAAAACAATCAGCTGCATTGCAGAATAAGAAGAAAATAAGGAAGGAAAAGGGGAAAAATATGGGAGAAATATTTGCCTAGCATAGACACAGAGCTCTAGAGCAAGGATTGAAGAGAGTTACAAAGATGATGACAGGACAGGAGCAACTCTTTTATGGGGAAAGGCTGAGGGAGCTTGGCCCTCAGGGATGACTGAGAGAGGATCCCATTAATACATGGGAATACCTGAAAGAATGGTGCCAAGAGAATGGACCAGGCTCTGCTCCATGGTGCTGAGCAATAGGACAAGAGGAAATAAGCAGAAACTTGTGTCCAGGATGTTCCCCCTGAACATAAGAAAGAGATTCTTTACTCTGTTCAAGTGTCCACGCCTGGGGACAGATTGCCCAGAGAAGCAATATCTCCCTCACTGGAGATATTCCAGAATCTGAGTACAATCCTATGTAATGTGCTTTAGGTAGCCTGCCTTGAGCAGAGAGTTGGAGCCAGATGACCGTGCCAATGGTCACTTCTAGCTTTACCCATTCTGTGATTTTGTGATTTCATGATCTTAGTTCCAGAAGACATATAAATTTTTACTGGAAGGCTGCAGATTCTTTACACCTGGGAGGTAAAATTTCTGGCCAGAGTAATTCGGAAGATTGCTGGAGGGACATTGAAGAGCATTCCTTGGAGTGTGAATCCTCTAACTAATATAAGGATAGAACAATATACATGCACATAACTAAAAATTCACCAAATACATACATCCTCTTCTACCCCTCCCATGTAGAAAAGAGAACATGAATGCAGTTATTATCGGAAGGCATTCAAATATTGTGGGAATAGGCATAGTACAGAAGGAGGAATATAATGGAACACTTGAAGTGGCCCAATTCTGAATTTAGCAGTAAAATTATAGATTGAAATCTGAATATGTACATGAACACATAAATGTATATATTTATCAAATAAAAAGCAGAGACTGCTGAACAATCTGAGAACCAAGTCTGTATTAAAAGTTGTAGCAGTGGCAGTTTTAAGCCATCATTTGTCCCTTGCCAGCATTACTCAGCTGGACCTGAAACATAATAATGATTATCAGTCTGGTGTACATAGATCATTGCTGATGAAATTCAGTCATGCAAATCAAGGTATGGAAGATAACAAAGCCAGCAGTATGGAGTTTTGCCCTGCTCTGGCTTCTTCCAAGACACAGCTGGGAAAAAGATCATTGCAATGCCTTTCATTGGTGTGCTCAGTACAGGGGTGGAAGAGGAGTGACAACACAAGAACAGCATTTTGTGAGGAGTTTGAGCTGCCCCAAACAGAAGCCCTGCCCAGTGATGCTCCATCCAGAGCATGTGAGAACAGTCTGGCTCTTTATTTGTATATCAGGAAAATGTTTACTGGCCAAGGTATATTAAACAGCAAGTGTTTGCCCTATGAAGTAGCACAAAGTTCTTCCTATAGGAAGATACATAAAGAGCAAAGCTTAAAAGAAAGGGATTTATTTTCTGTTTAAAACTCTGGCTTCAGAGTTTGTGTTAACATGTGTTAACATTAATGGCTAAGGGGATTATTGTTATTCTTCCCCTTTGTGCTTCACCTCCTTTTTCCTGGCCCAGGGGCACCCAGGAGCAGCTGTCAGGTGCCAGCCAGTAGGTAAAGAGCCATCTGACACCTGGCAGGTTTCAGCTTTTCTGCCCTGACAAATCTGCTGTTGCCCTTGGTTCCATTAGATGGTTTCACTCCTGCCCATGTACTCCCAGAAGCGTCTGGGTTTCATCAGTCAGTACATATATTTCTCTGTTAGCCACCCCTGGTGTGATTTGTCACTGCCAGTTGGTACCCAGGGAGAGGTATTTCTACTTTCCCTCTCCATTTCCCAGACTCATGCTGTTTTCTGGCACCTTCAGATTCCTTTCTTAACAGCCTATACCTGGCTGACAGAAATAGCTCAGTGATGCAACAAATGCCAGACAGACACAGAAAGTAACTGAGCTTCTTGGGTTATTCTCCCAAAAGAAAATGAAGGCACCTGGGATGCTGTAGGCACAGGGTGAGTGGCTCAGAGCAAAGAGGCACAAGAACAGCACCATGCCAGGTTCTGCTCCTCAGCACCAGGAAGCTCCTTTGCCAACAGCACCTTTTTCCTTCTGTGGAGGACATTGTTTAGGTCAATCCAAAGAGATAAGTAAGGTCTGGGAATTCTGAAAAATAACCTGTATTCTGTGACCAGTGACCTTCCAATATTGTTTACATAATATGAGTCGATACACTTAGAATCATATTTTATGCAATACTGCCATTTACAGTGTTAGCACAAGAAGCTGCAAAGTCAGTTTGGAGCACGTGGTCCCATTAGTTGCCTAGAACTGTAAATAATGATCTGCTTTGTAATACAAAATTCTGGAGCCAATCATTGTATCTGCATAAGTACACAGAGGGAAAGTCCATCAACAACAAAAAAGACTGTAATTCTTATCCCTATGTTGGGTGGATCTGGGGTAGCTCTTCTAATCAAAATTATTATTTCAAATTACTTGAAGCAGCTATTCTGGTCACTTGAAAACTGAGGACAAACCATTGGGTTTGATTTACATGTGATCTGTCCCAGAGACTGTATTTTCTAGGAGCCATTGAGTCATATTTGTTCATCCACAGAACTGTGCATAGGGTCCTGCACTATCCTATCAGCCCTCAAAGCCCAAGGAATGATGATGTTACTTACAAATGTGAAATTTGCATGAACGAGCACTGCTACACAAATCCCCAAATAACACTACACAATAACCACCCACAACAAACACACCAGAGAAGTCTGCTACCGAACACACCAAAATGAGCTCCTTTTTTAGCTTTGTGACAACAAAGGGTAAAGTGAGAAGTGTCTATATATTTAAGTTCTGAGGTCTCAAGTTTCTTGATTTCTGTTATTTTCCTGACATGCCCACCAGCCATGTTTCTGGAAGTAGTGCAAACATATGTATCCAGTGACAGCCTCCTCCAGATGGAAAAATGTCACCACTGACCCTACCCTTCATTTGTAAGACATTGAAGTTGTATTGTTTGTACTATTAATATGTTCCCCAGTCGTCTCTCCCTCAGCTGGCCATGGGGGCCTGAAGTAGTCCTTTACAGAAAACTGAAGTTTGTCAAGAAACATTTAATGAAACTAAGCTAATGGACTGCATGTATATTTTGACAAAAAAAATCTTTGAAATATCTCCTAAACCCAGCCACAGCAGTGTCCTCCCTGAGAAGTATTTTCCTTGGGAATGACAAGGACCCTGCGGAGCATCCAAGGCTGGTTCTGTAATCAATGTACTACCTCCAGTGTAGTGATAGGTGTCTTGTTTGCTCTGCTTAAATCATTACCACCTTGGTTGCAGGGAGACAATAATTACAAATGAAGATTCTTTTTACTGAAAGGAATTAAAAACAGGGACAGTTACAGCTACTAACTGATGAGAGCTAACCCAAACAGTTTCTTTGTGCTGTTGAGCACAAGAACCACTTCCTTGTTCACACCACATCTTCATGAGATGTCATGCTAACACTTCTGATTAAACAGCAGAAATTTTACTTAATGTTCCATAAGAAGACATTGGTTTAGAGTCTGGTTGTTCTTTGAGGGTGTTTTTGGCTTTTTTTTTTTGGAATACACAGAGACAAGTGGCCTATGCTTGTGAGAAATTACCTCTGAAATGGTTGCTCAGGGAGAAGGAAAGACAGAGAGGTGGAGGTGAACCCACATCACAGAACCATAGAACCATCCAGGCTGGGAAAGACCTTAGGAAGAGATTGGCTGGGAAAGATCATGCAGTCCAACCATTAACCCAGCGCTGCCAAGTCCACCATGAACAGGATGTTATTGCAGGGAAGCAGTGGTGGTGGCTGTTCCAGCTTGTCAGGGAGCAGGAGAAGGGCAGACTCATTGAGGCTCTCTGGCCTGGGGGAAGAAGTCTGTTGGTCCCCAGGAGCTACACCACCACACCCTTGCAAGATCAGGGGATCAGGAGTACCAAGCAGAGGCTGCCTGGCTGCTCCCCACCCACAGTAAGGAGCTCATCAGCTTAAACGGATTTTAACCTGAAGAAGTGTGATACATCAAGGGTGCATGTCTGGCTTGGCCTTGGTTTGGAGGCTCCTGGCTGGATGAGGACTGTAAGGAGGGAGTTCTGTGCTTTTGTTAATTCAAGAATACTGTATGCTGGATGGTTAGGGTATTGTGCGGATGTTTCCCAGACAAACAGAAGAAATGGTGCCTTTGATTAATAACCCAAAATATTTTATAAGCCTGTTACAGAAGCTCGTTGATCTCAGAGCAGTGGAGGCTGGACTCCAACTAATAACAATGAAGAATGTTGTAAATATATATATCAGACTCTCTCAAATTAGCTCCATGTCCTGTGTTCCTGACTCCTTATTTTACTGCTTAATGTGTAAGAAATCCTGTACTATTGACATTCTTTTCTTATACTAGCAAAGATGTAAGCAACTAAATAGCAGTTCATAGTCTGCTTGTTTAACTTTACCCTTTTGCTTCTGATTAAGCCTGTTTGTGTTGTGAATTTCCTTATACTGTGCAAATGAATCAGAGAAAAATTTTAATCAGAAAAAAAAGAGTTTTGTTATTTCCATGTATTGTGTGTGGAACCAGTGTACCTCCTTGTGTGTTTGCATAGGAATGCTGATAAGCCATGAGAAAATGCTTCAGTGCTGAGATGTCTATTTTTGCTAAGTGTCTTGCATGACTGATCTGATGCTAAATAAACTAGTAAATCTAGAAAAGGTTACATCTATTATTTGCTGATAGCTAATGCTCAATGTAGAGCAAGAAACAATATTCATCCTTATAAAGAGGAGTCATCATGGGTATTAATTGGTTATATAGCAAAGTCCAGACTGAATTCCAGCTTGGCACAGCATTTCCCCTGCTCCTCTTTCCTCAAAAGTTAGCAGCTGAATAACAAACAAAATCTGTTATTAATGGTGGAGTACAAAACTAGGGGCTGTCCAGGCTTCCTCTGTGTCCCAAGGGTGGGTTATGTGATATAGATGCTTCTGTCCCTTTTTGTTAATTACTTCCAGCAATTAAGAAATTACCATCTCCTTGTACATTCTAGTTCTGCTTTTTTAACTGGAAAGTATTTTACAAAGTCCCAAGTCTTTTTGTTGCAGTTAACACTTTTTCTATCACAATGATTTGTTTTCTGCAGCCATTTCACAATGGTTTTCTGTAACCAAATCCAAAGGTTATTAATGTGCTCCTTCATTCAGCATCCTCTTCTCTCAGCAGCACAAACAAATCCTTTACCCCAGAGGTCTTACACCCCTCTTCTTACTGGAATATGAATTTTCTGCCTTTAGTTGATTACTCTTTGTCTTGAGCTATGTTGTCAAAAGCTGCACATGGTATCTGAATGGAGAACATTGCAAGACTGACATGTTGAAAGGACTTTTTTTTTTTAATTTCTCTGCTCTGTTCCCACATCTGTCACCCTCAGTGGTGTTCCGTCTTGCCTGGTATTAGAGCATCTTGTTATTCTTGTCACCTACAACTCCTTAGTCTTGCAAACTGTGTGAATGCAAAGTTCCTTCATATCCTTTTATGGGAGATGGTTTTACAAAATCTCTCCATCCTGGAGCAATGTAAGAAATAAATTATTATAAGCTCCACAAGACATTTTGCATGGTAACAGTGCTCCAGGGGAAAAAAATAGTCTAATTTGGCACTTCCATGGATGTTGCTGAATCTTTTCCCAAGCTAATGCAAGGCATACATTCTTACTGCAGTTTCATGAAATCATCTTGGTCAGACCTCCATAACAGAATGGAAAAGGGCACTGGAAAGACCAAAGGAAAGATGAGGGCAAGTATCAAGCTGGCTTCGAGCTCCCCCTGGAGCTCAAGGGTTGTTTGCTTTTGCCTGACCTCTTAAAAATAGCACATCAAACAGCTGAGTTGGAGCTTGTGATACAGCACAACATTACACTGGCTTATAGTGAACTCGAGACAAATAAGGAAATGGGAAATAAGAAAGAATTAACAAGTCAGAGGAACTTTTAATGAGTTAGGATAGCTGGGGAGTTAAACATAATGATCCTGCCTCATAACTACCAAATTTCTGCATTTCTGTTGATGTCCAGTGCAGTCTTCTTTAAAAAGCACTGGGCTTTTGTAGTTATGATGTCCTTCTTAGCAGTTCAGGCACTTGTTTCCTTCAACAATGTACATATCCCCAAAATTATGTTTCAAATATCCAATGATTCAGGTATTTTTGAGAAGTGATTCAATATTTTTACATCCATGATGAGTTCTCCATACTTTCATTTGACATTAAAAAAAAAAAAAGTGCATGGAGGGTCTCTTCCCTCTTCCTTACTTCTTTGGTACTAGTGGTGGTCATCAGATTTTCTCAATTTCATTTCCACTGAAGCTCTATTCCCGTGGTGTGGGCTGGGAGGCACACAGCAGAACAGAAAGATGTTTTGCCCATGTTGAGCATATACAAAATTTTATTTTCATTTAGCTGATTGAAACAGAGAGACCATGAAATTCTGCAGATATGGCTGTGCACATACAGGCTGCATCCTTAATCTGTGTGCAGAAGAGAGGGTGGTTTCTGGAGACATGGCTTATGCTCCAGCAAAAAGACCTGCTGTGGTTTCTTTCCTTCCCCCTTCAAATTGTGAGGAGCTTGAAATCCTGTTAGGCATACAGACAAGGAGGGGTTGTATGGCACCCAAATAACATGGGTTGACCAAACTCGTGTTTGCTGCTGCTCAAATGCACCCACTTGAGCGTTGTTGCCCTGCCTCCCCAGTGCACCCTGGAGCTGGAATTAGTGACACCAATGCCTCCTCAGCAGCAATACTCCCTGACTGGAACCCAAATTGCAGGCTGAGACAGTCACAGAATCTTGGCATAATAATTTTATCTCCAGGATCATAAAGTGCCTCAGAGAGGGGTCTCTGCTGGCAGGCAGGTCAGCAAGGCCCAGGTACAGACTCGGGAAGTGATTTCTACCCCTCCTGCATCCCAGGGCAGAGCCAAACTGGTCCAGTGAGGGCCTGAACAAGGTCAGTTTCTGGTTATACTTCAGGCAATAACTGATCTTCTAAGATCAGTTGATCTTTGATACAGGTAACCTAAGGATTATTAGCTTGCCCCAGTGTCTTGGCACACTGAAAGAAATGTTTTAAAGAAAGTAACTCCAGAGAAGGCAGTTTTGGGTAATGTGTTGGTATTTGAGGCTCCTTAGTCCAGATGTGATATTTCTTATCATGTGGGTCAGCTATGCAATATGCACAGGTATCTCCTGCCACATGCTGTTACCATCTGTGTCTGCTTTCTCCCTGCTAGTGGCACAATTCCAAAGAAGGTTAACTCCATGATAAGCAGTCCCTACCTGAACTGTAAAACTGAGTCACCAGCACAGCCCAATGAGAACTGGAAAAGGCAGAATGTGTTAGAATGGTGGTTTAGGACTTCAGGTTATATTCTTTTCCAGAGAACATTTAATATTTTGTATAGTTTTAAAATCTCTCTCATCTTTCTATTATCTTTCACCAGGAAATGGGTTTGAATATCAATCTTTTAATAATTCTAATAATTAATGTCCTTAAGGATTATCCAAAGATCCCAAGTGGCCTCTACCCCTATCCCTACCACACGTTGCAGAAGGTGACACAATACATGCCCTACATGAATATGCTGTTTCTCAGAGGTGACAGTTCCTTCTGTCAGCAACAGGGGAAGGCTACAACGCTTTCCACTGAAGTCAAATGTTACAGAACTCTACTGCCTTTATGCCAGCTTGGCAAGAGAAACCATGGAAGGCTCTAGAGAAGATACAGGGATTTTCTTTGTTTCTGTAGGTGCTAATTAAATGCTTGACAATATACATGTTGCAGCTTGTTTTATATATCTAATTTACATCTATATGCCTTCTGCCAGGTGCTATATGCTCATTTATTTATTTATGGTTAATAACGCACTTCTTAAAAATAGAAAAAGGTAAATAATACTAAGCCAAAATAAAAAAGTTCTTCCACAACAATCATGGGCCATCGAACACTCCTGCATATGTTTTTAGAACTGAAGCCTTGAGAAAATCCTTCTTATACAGCTCTCAAGACATTTCAGTTAGGCATTTTCCTCAGTCTAAATCAAGTTTCTAAGTGAAGGCAGGGCCTTATGGCTTTCAGATTTAAGGAGACAAACTGGTATCATTAGAGATCACCATGCAGCTGAAGATGAACCATACCATCAGATGTACCTCCCCAAAAATGCTACATATGGCTGCACAAGTATTGAAGAAACTACATCACAAGCCTGTTGGAATCCATTATTTATTCTGCATTTGCACTCAAAATACAAATACAATCGCCTAAATGCTGAACACAGTAAGTTAAACCCACTGTTAAAACAGACTTTGACTTTCACAGGCACAACTTGAGTGGTTTCTCTAGAATTAGGGCTTTTTTCACAACGGTGAACCTTCTAGGGTAAACAACCAGGCCACATCGTCATGTTCTGGCTACTTATGATTACTGGAGGAATTATATATGCTGTGTTTTATAAATTCATCACATTTCACATTTATAAATTCATCAAATTTGAGAACAGGGCCTGTGCACAGAATATCTCTCTGAAGTACTGGTGCACTTCACAGCCAGATTTGGTACTTTGACTGCCTCTAAATTTAGCTTAACCCCAGCCCTGCATCTTCTGCACATCACAGGCAAGGTTTAAGGCTGGAGTTTTAGATGAGGAACAGAACCCAAACATGAAAATTGTCTTATCTTCCGTCATGTTTCCCACACACATACAAAGCACCTAGTTAAAGTGCTAAACTGTAAAGTGTCACATTGTCCAAACTTCTAAAAAAAGTAAGTATTTAAAAAAATTATTAGCCATATAAAAATAATTTTGATGTGTCTATATACATGCTATTTGACTAGCAAAGCCAGATTTCTACTATTCCTGGGCAATTTGTTCAGAAGTCACTTCTGGACAACTATATTCCTAAATGATAGAAATCTATACTAAGCATTTACTTTTTCTCCTATTTCTTCCGCATAAGCAAAACATAGGCTCCTGCACTTTGTCCTTGCCACTGCTTTCCTGTTTTAACCCTCTTGGCTCCACCTAGATTGTCCAGTAAGTCAGGATGAGAATGCAACAGTAGGAGAAGAGGCTCTGATATTGTGACTTTCTTGGTTCTGATGTACTCAGGTTAAAGAACAGTTCTTCTTCCCTCTCCATCTATAGCTATATAAAAATAATATAAATTTCAGGTTCCAATACATTTGAAATCGAACATCTTTTTTCTAGTTCTGTATTAATTAGTAGGTGAAATTTTTATTAGAAGTATCAATATACAAAAATACACTAGCAATTTTTTAATTTTAGCTCAAGTTCATTCTTCAGCCGCTCTGTGCTTCACCAACCTGTCTCTACTAAAAGCAGAAAAAGCCATTTCACTGGATACTAAATATGGATAGATACTGCATATGTCAGAGCCACTAAAATGGGTGTTTGGAACAATTACTTTTCTGTGCCTGGTGTTGTACAAACATCCTCCTGTAAGTGTCTTGTGCTCCTTGTGACCCACTTCTCCAGCACTGAAGTGCCTCTGTGCAGATTTAAACTGGGCAATATTTTTCTCAAGGTACATCTGTATCACAACCCCTCCATCAGTCAGTCCCAGCAGCTCCAAAAGGAGAAGACATGAATATGCAGATTCACTGCACATGTAATCTTTGTAACTGGGAAGAAAAA